TTGAGGGGAGCTCTGTCAACCTAACCTGTGATGCAGCTGGTGCTGTGTTTACCAGAAAGTGGGTGAAGGACGGCTCAAATCTGACTCTGACTGACAACATGATACTTCACGATAACAACAGAGTGCTGTCTTTTATCAGTCTGAATAAAAAAGACAGTGGAGAATATTCCTGTAAAATCAGCAACCCAATCAACACTGAGGAAGCTACATACACCGTGGTTGTTAACTGTAGGTAACACACTGTACAATGTACATTTACTGTTCAAAATGATGACTGCCATAAATAACTGTGTGTGACTGATCAGGTTGTGACGGTAAAACTTTGTTTACTCAACCTACAACAGGTTGATGTTCAGCAAAGAGTCACATGCCTATGTGCTGGTTTTGCTAGTCTCACAATATGTTTATTGTCTTTATAGTCCTAAGCCAGATTTAACTTTCACTCTGACTCTCTTGTCCAAAACCAACATTTTCATCGGTGTTCATTCACCCTTACAGTAGCCTTCTGTACATAACCCTGTTTGAAAGTCAGGGAAATCACCTGGAGGTATTTGAGTTAAGTAAAAAATAGCCTTCACAATTTATTATTTGGTTAGACATTTCTCTCTGTCACATTCTGCCTGTCGGCCATGTTTTAGTTTTATCCTCTGAGTTTTTGTTATATTTGATCAGTTCAGTATCTGTTAATTAGTATGTTGTTTAAGGGTTCAGTCCAGTCTGTTGTCCTGTGTCCAGTCTGTTAATGTCATTGTAAGCTCTGCTTGATTTGTTATCCCTTTGATTATTATCTCTCTGTGTTTATCTGTTCAGTTGTCTTAGTCTGTGGTTGTGTTGCCCTGTTTTCTTGTCGTCCTTAGCCACTCTGTTTGTGTGGTTGCTAACACCTTGTGTTATGTTTGACCTTAGCAGTTGGTCTGTTTGTGGTTTTGGTCCCTGGGAGCCTAAGTGCTCAAACAGAAACTAACATTCACACTGGGTTCAGTATCTTGCCCAAGGACACTTCGACATGCAACCAGGGGGAGCCAGGGATTGAACCCCATTCTGGATTACCTGCCTGTTTTGGACCTAGTTCCAGTGCTGTATGGATTTGGCTTTATTTTGGACTCTGTCTGCACCTTTCTGTGTACACCCTGTGTTTCAGTAAGTTTGAATAAACCCCTGAACTGTACCTCTACCTTGGTGTCTTGCGTTTGGGCTCACCACCTCTGAATCGTGACACTCTTTGTATATTCAATATTGATTAGTTTCATACAGTACTTTCACATAGCCCAATCTTCACAGCTCCATTAAGCTCAATTAACTTTTTAAGATGACCTAAATTGTGTTCTATTAATAATGGTGATTTTGTTTATAAAATGAACATAGTTTACATAACTGGCTTTGGGGGGGGGGTCTTTAAAAAAACTTACAGGTACAAGAATTTAAATACCTGTTGTATTTTGTTTATTGATAGGTATATCAACTTATCATTAAATAGTTGTTGTAAAATTTAGGAATCTCTACATAATGTAACATACTTGGTTACTGTTAGGTCTGAGTAGCATCTAGCTGGCCACATTTGAACAATGCTCTAGTTTAAATTTAGAATCAACAACAAACATCAGGCACATGATACAGGTAAGTAGGCTACTCATCTGACCTACATATGCAACACGTCCTCATACCTAAGTGTCCCAAAACTACACATAAGACCGTTTCCAAAATTGCATCGCCCATATGTTCATAGGGAAGTACAAAGACAACAACAACATGAGCATTGGCAAGTACCGGTCCAGCGACCTTTAGTAGGCCTACGTTACGGATTGTAAGTCACACAATGTTTAACATGTGGAAAACGTAACATAAAAGTAGTAGTTTGGTTAGTTTTAGGCAACAGAACTTCGTTAGGTTTAGGCAACAAAATGACTTGGTTAGTTTTAGGAAAAGATTGTGGCTTGGGTTTAGAGCACATTGTGTAACTTAAGTCAGTAAGTCATCTACAAAACATTATTTAACCTAAAACTTGTCATCTTTGACTTTCTTTATCATGGAACTTGAGCCTCGTTATCTTGAGTGAAAGTCCTGAGTTTACATCACTCACCCATACACCCCACCACCATTCATAGGTAGGTCGCTCCTTACTCCACCAGACTTTTTCTACCACCAGGGGGTTGTGGCCTAACTAAAAATGTAAACTTGGGTCATAATGAATGTTTGGATAAACAGCAACTCTCTGAATTAGTTCTTTACATTTTTGTCCTTCAGATGATCAGAAAATAAGTGTGTGAAGTTTTCACCTGCGCCAAGAAGATAAGAGACACCAATGTTGTTGGTTTTTTTTTATTTTTTAAATGATACATTTTTTCTTATGTTTGGATTATATACTTTTAGAAATCATTAACAGAATTACGAGTGTATCTGAGGGTGTTATTGTCAGAATGTTACTGCAAAATGTGCTGAAAGCTGCATTAAGTGACTTTTTGGACACAACATACATACATCCCCCCCTGGTTGTGTGTCGAAGTGTCCTTGGGCAAGATACTGAACCCCGAATTGCCCCTGGCGGCTATTCCGCCAGTGTATGAGTGAGTGTGAATGTTAGTTTCCGTTTGAGCACTTAGGCTCAGTGTATGAATGTGTGTGACTGGTGAATGCAGATGTAGTGTAAAAGCGCTTTGAGTAGTCGAAAAGACTAGAAAGGCGCTATACAAGTACGGAACATTTACATGGTGATATATTCACACTTTTTTTTAATAGCTAATGTGTTAGCAAACAATTTGCCATTTATCCATCCAGTACAGATCAACAGTAACATTTCTGCTGCGTTTCTGGCCACTTGTTGAATAAAATATTCACACTCATTTTAGAAGGTAGCGAATGCAATGGGTTTATTAGAGCGTTTTTCCTGAAACTCGTCCATAGACAGAGTTCTTCAAACCCAAAACCAAAAAAAGCTCAGTTGAGCTACATAGTTGGGTGATAATTCACCCAAAGCCATTTAACATTTAAAGGACCTATATGTAATTTTGTAATAAAATTAATAACATTTGTATTATATTTGTATTTGTGAGTTGTAACCTCACAGAAAAATGAGCCATTCACCGGCTTTCTCAGTTCCTTTGAAAGCCTCTATGCTACTTACTATGCACCATTAATATAAAACTTATTTGAAAATAGCTATGCTAACTTGTTTTACACCTAGACAGATAAGTAAAATATATAATTGACAATTTCTTATTCTGCTATTACTAAACCTTTGTGTGTTTGCATTAGATTTTTGTTCATTGTCAATATAATGGTCAAACACCAGCAACTGTGGAAATTACAGTAGGTTTGAAGAGTAAAGTTTAAATCCTACAGCCCTTATTTTTGGCAGCCCATCAAACTTATTTTGTTATATCTTGTTTCCATGAATTGATACATATTACTTTTCCTCATAATAAATACAATAAAGAAATGCTAATGATTAAATGAAGTTGTGCCTTTTGTTTAGTTAGCTTTAGCACTTTCAGTCCTTATAAATGAGGACTTTCAAGACAAAATCTGCAGTATGCTGCCCTCCTGTGGTGTAACTGTAGTTCTTCTAGGGGTCTGGATAAGAGGTGAAGCAAGGTGCTACTGATGTGATTTACTGAGCAGGATATCTTATATTTAACTTTTATAGGAGTGTATATCAAAGTTAATGTCCATTGAGAATTGATTTTAAGATTTAACTTGCTGAAATGAAACAGAAGCTCAATAGCAGAAGTGAGTAAATGTGTTGAATACTTAAGTTCTCTGGGAACTTTATGAGTGGTCTTAATGTTACAGTTATGTTTTAGGCGGACCCAGAAGCAGATAACAGAGCAGTTAAGATAAAAGTCCTTATTGACAAAACGATCTGTTGGTGGGGCGGCTGGCATGATACAGGCAGGTAAGAGATGGCATGGTGTTGATAGAGACGGTTGGTGATGAGTGATGAAGTGTAAGCACAAGAAACCTGGAGCACAGAAAAATCACAAAAAAAAAAAGAGGCAAGTTGGCGTACCTCTAATATACATCTAGTTTTGTAACGAAGTTGACATAGACTGCTTCTACTAGAGTGATGGACCAATCTGGCGACAAGTAGCAGTAGATGGTAGCCAGGCCCACAACACACGCACGCACATAGGCTACACACAAACACTGTAATTTACTCTCCTATACTGGAACTAGATCAAGAAATCTTATGACATTGGTTGGCATCCCAAATAATCTTTGGGTGTGTCTATCTCATGGATGTAGAGGGTAGGTCAGGCGTTCACCAAAGTCAGCAGAATGCAGCCTCTGAGAGAACCCATAACAAAAGCACAAGTACAGCAAGTTGTTTATTACTTCATATCGGGATATTGTCAAGGCTGCAACACACCTCGGTAGCTTACCGGATAGAGCTTGCACACCATGTACTAAGGCTTTCTGCAGTGGCCCAGGTTCTACAGACTTAGTCAGACATGATCAATGCATCAATCATAGTAAACAATAATGTTTACTTTACCACTGTGCCTTGACTTCATCTATAAATCTATTCAATATTGCCAATATTGTTTGTTTATTGTTTCTGTCTTCTCACTCATTTCTCCATATCCTTCTCTATATTGCTATGATGGATGAGGATCATGTGTTTGGTTTACCTATTTGTATATTTAACTATGTATATCTTTAATTTAAATTATTCTATTGTATCATTTCATTGTTAAATGAATTGAATTTAAAACATTTTGATTGAGTGTGTGTGTATCTGTCCTCAGCTTACTGGTGGACCCATCAGCCTAATATTTTTGAACATGCTCAAGGACGTCTCATGGTTGCAGCAACTCACAATTTTTGGAAAAAACTATTTTATTGGCTGAACCTGTCGTAAAACTTACTGCAATATTCTGATGTCGCCTCGCTACAAAATACAGAACAAATCCATAGTACGGCCACCCTGAATAAACCTCTGAATGCTGAATCATGTTAATGATCAACAAGGTGGACCTTGTTCATCATTAAACCATTCCATATGAAAATCCCCATTGCATAGTACTTCCTTGTACTACTTTAATACAGCAAAATGATCCTGAAATTATCAAAGGGAAATTGAAGTGAGTGAGTCCCTCTTTTCTCGTTATACTTGATGAAACTGCAGATGAAATGGAAATAACTGTGATACACTTAATCATCCTGGGAGTCATCACAGGTGAGATCTTATTGCTTGATACAGCAGATACAAGCATGCGTTTATTTACTTATTTTTAAAGATTTAGCCATTAATTATTTAAGCTCAGTTTAACATCTTAAGATTACACTCCTCCCTGCTTTCATTTGGGAGATGTTGCAAATGTGCTTCATTCCCCCCTGGATTATCCACTGGAAATTATTTTCTTAACTCATGAGGAGTCCAGTACTTCCTTCGTATAGCAAATGTTGATTTTTAAGAACGAGCATCAGAATATACACTGGACAGAAGCACATTGTAAACTTTCTACATAGATACATTATGACAAAATAATAATAATCTTTATTTGTAGAGCACTTTTCAAAAACAAGTTACAAAGTGCTTTAACAAGTGTAAAGACAATAATACCCAAGAGACAATAATACAAAAACAATACAAGATAAAAGCATGAAAACACTGAAAAGACTAAAATACATCAATCAAATAAAAGGGATAAAATAAAATCAAATAAGATCGGGAAAGGCTCTCCTATAAAAGTATGTTTTAAGAAGGGACTTAAGAGTCCACTGACTCAGCTGACCTGATTTCCTCGGGCAGGCTGTTCCAGAGCCTCGGGGCCCTGACAGCAAACGCTCTGTCCCTTTTAGTTTTCAGTCGAGACTCTGGAACAGACAGCAGACCTCTGCCCGAGGATCTCAAGGTACGTGCTGGTGCGTATGGGACTAAAAGGTCAGAAATATAACAAGGTGAGAGGCCATGAAGAGCTTTAAAAGTGACCAATAGAATTTTAAAGTCAATTCTAAAACATACTGGGAGCCAGTGTAATGAAGCTAAAATAGGAGTAATGGGGTCATATTTCTTTGTTCTGGTTAAAAGCCTGGCAGCTGAGTTCTGGACAGTCTGGAGTCGATCAGTAGATTTTTGGGTTAAACAGGTGAAAAGGCTGTTGCAATAATCCAGGTGTGATGAGATAAAGGCGTGTAAAATGGTCTCGGTGTCCTTAAAAGTTAACATAGATCGAAATTTAGCTATATTTCTAAAGTTGATAAAAACATGATTGAACAAGCTTTGTTTGGTATCAAACCAAACACCAAGGTTCTTTGCCACAGGCTTAATGTGATTTATTAGGGAACCAGCAGATGGCAGTATTTGTTTTGCCATCTGCTGGGACCCGATGACCAGGATTTCTGTTTTGTCTGAGTTCAGCTGGAGGAAATTATTTGACATCCATTTTTTAACTTCACAAATGCAGTTGTTAAGTGAACTCAGCATTCCAGGGTCTGTGGATCTGACGGGCAAGTATATTTGTGTGTCATCAGCATAAATATGAAAAGAAATGCCATGTTTATGGATAATATGTCCAAGGGGAAGCAGATACAAGGAAAACAAAATGGGTCCTAAGACCCCTGAGGCACACCATATTTAACTGGACAGAACGAAGAGACATAGTTGTTTACAGACACGCAAAACTTCCTATTTGACAGGTAGGATGAAAACCATTCTAGGGCAGTACCAGAGATCCCCACCCAGTGCCTCAGTCTGTCTAACATGATGTTGTGATCAATGGTGTCAAAAGCAGCACTAAGGTCCAGGAGTACCAGGACTGAGCACATGCCTTCATCAGCAGACATTAAAAGGTCATTGGTGACTTTAAGCAATGCAGTCTCAGTGCTGTGGTACTTCCTAAAACCAGACTGAAACTTTTCAAATATTTTTTTATTTTCCAGTACAGTGAGCATCTGTTTGGACACAATTCTTTCTAGAATCTTTGCAATAAAAGGCAGTTTTGAAATTGCTGTGTCATTTGTTCCGACATGGACTATCACTCTTGTGATGGAGGACGGGAGCGTCGGCATCAGGTCCTGGAGTTTTTTTTAAATCAGCCGCGGTGGCACCGGGGAAGCAGTGAGTGGTAGCGTTAAAGAAACGGATGTTTCTGGTTATGGAGTCACCAATTATTAGTGTGGTTGGGGAGAAAAGAGGACGAGGAGATGCTGGTTGTGGGGATCCAGAGCAGGACTGAGCAGAGTCTGCTTCAACACTGCGTGCGGACTGAGGATGGACTGTGTGAGCTGCCGAGTGTTGTGTTGGAGTAGCAGTAACAGACCTGAGAGAAGAGCTACCCGACGGTGCAGGGTAGAGACGGCCTCCGGAGCGTCTGAGCACAGCCTCCTTCAGGATCCTACGTCGGGAAGCGGAGGTTTTTGACCGGGATGACGGCCGCCGATCAGGCCCAGCGGCAGACCGGCGGCCCAGTGCAGGAGATGTAGCCGGTGGCGGAGATGCAACAGTGTCGGCAGGCACTGTGCGCCGAAAGAGATCCGTATCAGGGAGACTCGAAGCCGCAGGTGCATCCGCTGGATGGACCGGAGTGTCGTTAGACAAGGCTGCATAGCGGTTGGAGAGGCCGATGTGCCGAGGAGAGGCAGCCCCATCCGAGCCTCTCTTAAAGCCACGGACCACCACTTCAGCCCAGGTTGACTGATGCTTCGGAGTCGAGCAGGATGAAAGCCTGGGAAGACTAGAGGAGTCTCATAACACGGTGTACTGAATGTTGGTGGTTGTGCTAAGAGAAACAATCTGTTTGGCTTGTACTGAAGCTACATCCATAAAGCCAGTCAGCGGGGAATCTTTCTCTTTGAGTTCCTCTGAAAGTCGTCGGATGTCTTCCATAAGGTCAGCAATCTTTTTGTTCGCTTTCTTAAGGAGTGAGCAGTCCTCATGGGGCAGAGTTATTTCGGCTAGCATAGTCACCGGAGCTTTGTTGCAATCAGTAGCGTTGATCGCGTTTTTACGGTCATCTAGCTTAAAATCCATGTCGGATGGCTAAAATCCTTAACGGTTTAAGACGGAGCTTCCGACAGGTGGCTACAGACGCCAACGCATGCGCAGAGTGCAGATTACGTCAGCAATTACGTCAGCGATCTTGTACACACCAATCTTCAACATTCTGTTGTACTTAGTGGTTAGTAATATATTTATAAACCAGAGGTTTTGTTTGCAATAAATAGACAAGTTTAGAAAAAATTCAAAGCTACAACTGAGTTTAAAAAAAAATCAGGAGCCTTGGTTGGTTGCTCATTTTGTCTGCTACAGATTTGGGTTTTGAATAGTTATTAGATCAAGACCTTGTTTTGAATTGGGATTTAATCATCACAGTATCCAATTTTACAATATCCTCCATTATAATTAATTTTAGAGATGTGTAACTTTTAAAATCTTCCAGGTTTAACCAAAGGAGCTGGTTTGTTGCCAGAAGGTCCTCTGAATGCAGCTGTGGGAGGGACGGTGATGTTCACCACAACACTGACTCCAGCAGAGAAACCCTTTATAACAGCAGCCTGGAAATTTGGTGACAGAAACATAATCACTTCAAATGTTGGAAACATAACTGGCCCAGAGTATGAAGGCAGGATCACCTATTTCACTTCTACTGCATCTCTGGAACTCAGGAATCTGACTCTTAATGACAGTGGAGAATACAGAGTTACCATCACACCACAGGGAGAAGCACAAAAGCATGGAAACATCAGCCTGTCTGTACATGGTGAGCAAATGTTTCATATTGTAGATTATGACAAGTGAGAAATAAATAAATATTGTGTCTGTTAAAATAATTGTGTTTACATGCTCGGTAGTTTCAAATAAAATCTGTAATTATGTTATTACATAGTATAATACTAAGGCAAAACAAATAGCAATAATTGCATTATAAACACCCTGAAAACCTAATGAGCAATGGGGACCTACATTAACACCAGCTAAGACTGAACAGTATGCAGAAAACAATCACATTGTAATTACTTACTAGATATTGCGATAAGAGTCATTGTTTCAGCGGTAATGGTAATTATTTTTAATAAAGCAAATTTGTAATATAATGATGTGATATTTTCTGGGGTCTGTATCAAACCAGCATGTTCCCTTCCAACTGGAGAAGATTATTTGTAGGCCGGGCATGTCTGTAACACAACAATGCTTGATTTATAGAGGTGTGTTGTGACGCATTTTACCTTTATCCAAAAACTGCAGCTTCTGTGATCTGAGATTTAAGACAACTGGTGCTTAGCAATACCCTTATATTTACTGGTATGACTAAGTACTGACTTCCATATTGTGTTTAAACATGTAGTCTTAATGGATGCACTGAGTTTGCTTTATTTTGGTACACCTGTATGAATCTGTACATATTTAGCTTTTGTTGAGACTGTATCAGATAGATTTTGATTGGAGTTAAGGTCATACACACTAACTGGTGCTAAATTGGGCTGCAATATATTTTTTGCCACAGGCAATTGATTATAAAGTGCAACCACCAAAATGTGCAGCCTAAACCATTATACCACTGAGTTAAATCAATGACTGTTTGACAAAATATCAACAAAAACTGAATTTCCCTCTAATGTGCAAATCATTTAGTGGAAACCCCAAATGGCCTTTTAGGTCTGTGTATCATTATCGTCATTAAATAAGCGACATGTTTTTTGTTGTGGCAGGAGCTAGTGTAAACTTTCAGCTTGCAGCCATGAATTCTCAACATGCCATAATAAATATGGGATTCATTCTCAGCCACTTCAGTGTTTCCCTCTACTGTACCTTTGTAATGCAAAGAACAATATTGTTTTTCACCCACAGAGCCAGTTTTTAATGTAATAGTAAATGCCAGCAAATACTTGTTGTTCCCACTGATGTTTAACATCTTTAATTCTCTTAATCTGCTGAATAGGACAGTAATAATATAAATTGATATCTACCTTAAATGTAGCTGATTTGAGGTGGTTTACAGTGTGTTACTCAGATGATCTCAAATGATTTACAAGCAGTACATGATGATTTGTCAAATTATTGTAGCTAGCTAAATTTTTTCACCTCTATTCCCACATTTAGTTTACTGTTTACTAAGTCAGGCAGTTAACATGGTAATCAATATTAAGTTGACTGTTAAGTTGTGTTTGACACCAGCGTAGAAAGGTGTGTGATAGAAAAAATGTAGAAAAGCCAGATTGTAAAAACCCCTAATACTTTAATTCTTTACTTCAACCCACAGTGCCAGTCTCTAATGTAACGGTAAATGCCAGCGGCACAGACTTAGTGGAGTTCAGCAGCTCTGTCCATCTGTCCTGCTCCTCCTCTGGATCCTCCCTCTCTTTCCTTTGGCTGAACGGCAGCTCTGAGGTTGCAGCCAGCGACAGAGTTCAGCTCACTGATGGAGGCTCCACTCTCACTATAGTTAATGTGACCCGCTATGACCAGGGACCATTCAGGTGTCGTGTGTTCAATCCTTTCAGTAATGGCACAAGTGATCCTGTAAACCTCACCATCAGCTGTGAGTTATTAACCTACATGTGCATAACATTTATCTTGCACTATATTCATGCAGTTTGCTCTGTGCTGTGGACATACAGCTTCAAAGATACATCTTTGATCTTCAGTTGATGGTATACTGAGGCCTCGCACTGAGCTAAGCTGCATGTTAAGTAGCATTTTCTTCAAGCTGCTAACATTACTACTTTGTTGTTGCTTTTTACTCCCCATACGGCACACACTGTAGATGGCCCAGAAAATATTTATTTCACAATATCTCCGACACAAGAATCCTTTGAGGAAGGATCAAACACCAGTCTGTCCTGTTCAGCTGTCTCCAGACCCTCTGCCTTGTTTAACTGGTTTCTGAATGGAGACCTGCAGTCTGATACTGGACCAGAGCTCACACTGATAAACATTCAGATGAGTCACAGTGGTAACTACAGCTGCCAGGCCTTTAACAAAAAAACCATGAGATATCAAACTTCTCAGCCATCAGTTGTCTCTGTACTGGGTAAGTTGAAATGAATAGGTTTTTACTGTAGTGACACATTCAACAAGATAGCATTTTATTGTCAGTAGTGGCATTTGGATATAGTACTGGAATTAGCATTCTGTTAAAGGTGGGGGTTGCCATTCTGGACAAATCCAATATCACAACAAATACCATTTGGAGCAAATGATGACACAGCAAGTAGCTATAGTTGTGGGTTAGCAAACTTACGCCACAGTTGCTGCTGCAAAGCTAAAATGCATAATATAGATAATATAGTTAGTAGTAAACATTTCCCATTTACAGAGCCAAGGCTGTGTTTTTTTTTGCGCACACACACTAAACGGACAGCTATGGACCTTGAGGAGCTATTTACTGTATTTGACAAAAAGACGTGTATCGGATTAGAATCACATACCCCAACTTTAACGCCAAATAATTTGTGTTTGGCAAAGTGTGCTCTCAGATCAGATTACCTTCATCTTAAATAACAAAAGACAAGAAAAACATTATTTGTGTAATCCAAGGAAAGTTTTTATAAATTGCATACAATTATGCAACACTGCAATCCAGCAGAGCCCTTATTTATTGATAATCAAATTATTACGATGTGCTATGATGCCATGTGGCTCATACCAGCAAGAAAGCTAATGTGCACAAAACTAACAATGGAATCTAGGATCTCTGATTGGCCACTCGCAATAGTTATGACTTTACATCAAAACTAGTTAGGTTCTGCCCCAAGTAATTGTGGTACAACCAATTTTAGTAGCTAATTTTGTTAAACTAACTAAGTAGTTACTAAGCCTCGACTTTGCACCCTAACCTAGGAGAGAACTTAGGAGAGAACCCAGTGTAGGCCCCTAAAGCGATGGGCTTGAGCTGGTTCTTCTTATTTATCCACTGAGGGCCAGCCAACTCATCCTTGTTCATTTATTCTTACAGGTCGGTAAAAGTCATAAAGCACTTCACATCTAATTAGAACAATTAGGGTTTTTTGAAATGTGGAAATGACGTCAACAGCAGCAACAACTCCTTAAATGTGTAACCTAAAAAATAGGTAACTGTTTACTAACAAGTTTGCTGTATGTCTGTGAAGGTTCTCAGTCATCCAGGTCACAGGTATCCAAAGAAAGTTGTATCAGCTTATCAACAATAATTATGTGTCAATATTGTGTTTACAGCTTGTTTCCACTGATTCCAAGAGGCAAAAAACTTTATTTCAGGTTTAAGGATTTCATGCTCTATTAAGACTTGTGGTCAAAACTTTGAAACAATAACATTTGAACAAATGGAGAGCATGTTACCTGGCAAAGATCACGACTCTTGCAACTGTCGACTTAATTCAATTGTTAAAGATTTTTTTTCTTCTTCATTATGCCATGTCATGTAATATGACGAATATGATATGATTTTTTTATGATGAAGTTGTAATGTTTGCTCCTTCACAATGATATTATATTTATTTACTCACCCAATCAACCCCATAGTAACACAGTAACAGTCAGTTGTTCATGTTTTCACACATTCTGTGATGTTTTGTTCTACAGAGAGAATATCAGGTGCTTCTGTCAAATCATCAACAAACATGCCGATTGAGGGGAGCTCTGTCAACCTAACCTGTGACGCAGCTGGCGCTGTGTTTACCAGAAAGTGGGTGAAGGACGGCTCAAATCTTACTTTGACTGAAAACATGATACTTCACGATAACAACAGAGTGCTGTCTTTTATCAGTCTGAATAAAAAAGACAGTGGAGAATATTCCTGTAAAATCAGCAACCCAATCAACACTGAGGAAGCTACATACACCGTGGTTGTTAACTGTAGGTAACACACTGTACAATGTACATTTACTGTTCAAAATGATGACTGCCATAAATAACTGTGTGCGACTGGTTTTGGTTTGTCAGTATGTAAAACAAGTTTAAGTTTTATAGTCTTTATTATTTGTGCTGCTGTAAGAACTTTACAACTATGTTTTTTTCAGATGGACCAGAAAATGTTCAAATCACAGGTCCAAATGAGATCCATATTGAACAGACCTTAACATTAACCTGCTCTGCTGAGTCCACACCATCTGCTAGTTACACCTGGACACTGAATGGGGCTGAGTTACAGAATTCTGCTATATTTACAAAAAACATCACTGAACTTTCTGACAGTGGCAACTATATCTGTGAAGCAATGAATAATGTAACTGGAAGAACATCATCATCAGTGGTCCACCAGTTGTCTGTAACAGGTAACAAGATGGAGTTGATTGCAGTTTCTTGTTGTTGATGTTGCCCACATTAACCCACAATGTTAAATTGTTATGTTATGTTCAAGGCCTTACTCTTAATATTAAACAAATATTCGCACCTAGTGGGCTGTGAAGTCACAGGAAAGTTGAAATGGTTGTATGCTTTATATCCATAGGCATAAAAGATTATTCCTGTTTACAGAATGGTGTTAAATCATGTTCTTGTATCTTTTTTTTATTTTAGCTGTCAAAACTTCACCCTGTTCGGCTGGTTGCATCGCTGGATTAGTAATCGCATGTTTGGTCATCTGTGGAGCAGGTTTTGGTGGAGGATACTACATATATAAAAAAAGGTATATATGAGCCATTTTTTTTTATTATTTAGGATCAATACCAATTATGGCAAGTGTATTGGCTCAGTATTGTTGAGTTTGGATTTGCAGGTCAAATCAGTTTTAGTCATAAACCATGGATTACTACAGGGTGGGAGGGAGTGTTAGGATCTGAAGAGAACAGATAGAAAATAGGGAACTAGAATCAGGTTGTGACAGTAAAACTCTGTTTACTTTATCTACAACAGGTCAATGTTCAAAAAAGGGTCACCTGCTTATGTACTGCTTTTGCCAGTCTCACAATATGTATATTGTCTATTTAGCCCCGAGCCTGACTTTAGCTTTCACTCTGACTCTCATTTTCATCAGTGTTCATTCACCCTTACAGTATCCTACTGTACATGACCCTGTTTAAAAATCAGGGAAATCACCTGGAGGTATATGTGTGAAAAATAGCCTTCATAATATCTGTAACTGGTCACTCATTTCTCTTAGATTTGGTCAGGAATTATTGTATTTTCAATATTGATCAGTTTCATACAGTACTTTTACAGGTCCATTAAACTCAACTGACTTTAAGATTACATAAATTATATTCTATTAATGTGAATGATTCTGTTGATCAGATTAACATAATTCATCAACAATAATTCATTTCTGGATTTGGTGTTTTACTCACAGGTGCAAGAATTTAAATACCTGTTCGTTGTATTTGTTTTTTTATTATCATTAATAGGTACATTAACAGCATCAAGCAGGCTACCTTTTAACAATCTTTTATTTTAAATTCAGAATAAACAACAAACCTCAGGCACATGATACAGGTAAGTAGGCTATTCATCTGACTTACACATGCAACACGTCGTCATACCAAAACGACAAAATAGGGCAATTATCAAGTCTCCCCAAACGACATACAGTATAAGACTGCTTCCAAAACGACATCGGCCATATGTCCATTGGAAAATGCAATGACATTTTGACCATTTTCCAAAACAACGAGCATTGGCAAATACTGGTCCAGAGTCAGGCTTACCGGACCTTCAGTATAGGCCTATGTTGCGTAACGTTAAAAAAAAAGGTAGTAGTTAGTTTTAGGCAACAGAACTTTATGGTTAGTTTTAGGAAAATATTGTGACTTTCTTTTACACGGAACTTGAGTCTCGGTCTCTTGAGGGGAAAGTCCTGAGTTTACATCCATCATCCATTCACCACCACCACCCTCCTTAGTCAGACTTTGTCGTTCCTTATACTATGTCACCTGACTTCTTCTACCACCATGGGTTGTGGCCTTACAAAAATCATAAATTTGGGTCGTAGTGAGCTATACTTATACAGCTGTTTTTGGATGAGGACGACTGGATCTAAAAATCACTGGATCAATCATCAATCACAAATAAATACTTAATAAACATAAAGAATCACAATCACATGTATTGATGTGTTATGAAATGTACTGTAACAAAGCTACTTTTTTGCCTAGAACGAGAAGAACATATGTATGAGAACACTTCAGAGGTATATGAGAACATATAAACTCAACTGTCTTTTAAAGTAAGTTTTCAACTCATTTGTCTGATTTAGTGAAAAGGCCTAAATGTAATTTGAAGGGAGAAGCACCAGAGGTTTTGTTTCTGTGGAAATCATTTTAACTCTGTTTGGATCAAAACAGCAACTCTCTAATTTAATCAGTTGTTCTCTTCTTTGCCAAGAAGAGACGAGACACCAATGTTGTCGGGGGGGTTGTTTAGAAATTATACTATTCTGACTATTTTTCTTCTATGTTTGGATTAAATTTTCTTTTAGATAAGTAATTTACAATGCAGTAAGTCATATCATTAACAGAATTACCAGTGGATCTGAAAGCAATATAAATGTGCTTAAAGCTGCATTATGTAACTTTTTGGATACTTGTAGGCAGAAGAGCACCATAACATAATGAGACATAGCAGTCCTGATATATTATCACCTAATTGTTTTTTTGTTTTTTTTATAGCTAATGTGTTGCCAATTATACATCCAGTACATATCAACAGCAGCATTTCTGCAGCATTTCTGGCCACTTGTTGAATAAAATATTCACTCCCATTTTAGAAGGTGGCATATGCATTAGATTTCAAATCAAAGCTTTTTTGCTAAAAATGTCTGCCAGTGTTTATGAGAGTGAAATGTCTTCAAACCCAAAACAAAGTGTAAATACAGTAAAATATTCCAGTAAACTGTAGTACTGGGTAATGATTCAATATATAATGAGTTGAAAATTACACCTTTTCTGGTGTGTTTGCTCTGTGTATATATAATGTTTGCTTTTATTTTCCTGTTCTTTATTTTGTCCAATCTCAGCTTTGTAAATCAATGGATTAATATTGGGTTAGGATGAGAAATTATTCTAATTAACAAGATACATCAATATATTTTGAAAACTGCAACATAAAATGTTAATGCTTTCTCTGTCATTTGTTTTGACAGCAACTGAATATGTAACAGTCTTATAAATATAATGGTCAAAATCTGGTAAGCATAGTATTTTAATAAATCTGTATATATCCTCTTATTGTTTACTTGAGTTGATACATTTGACTTACTCACAATACATACAAACAATAAAGAAAAGTTAGTCTTGATGGTTGACTTAAGCTTATGCAGAACACAAGTTAACCCAAGAGCAACCTGCTTTACTATGGAGCTAAATCAGGGCCGAATGTTTTGTTAATTTAAAAAAAAACTAATAGAAAAACTAAAACTTGAAATTGAACATTTAAATTTTGGTCTTAAACTTGAAAAATACAACCATGTATTCAAAATAAAAATAAGTGTATGATTTTTTTTCAGTTTGAATGAAATGTTGATTTTATTCTGGAATTATTTTGAATAAATGATTAATTTTATTTTTTACTTTTATTCTCCACTAATCCACAACTCCACTATTTTGATATTTGAGGACTTATTTTTCAGTTCCACATTTTTTGTTTTCAGAATCAAAGCAGTTTTATTGGGGGTTTTTTGTTTGTTTTTTTAAACATTCAAATCTTTTCAGTTTCAGATCAGTTTTTCAGTTTCAGATCAGTTTTTTTTTCAGTTTCAGACTTTCGGCCTTCCACTAATTAGCAGAGTTTCAGGAGTAGGACCACACATCAGTCCCATCATTGCCAGCAGTTCCATAAAAACCCACACGTCCCATCTCCTCTTCCCATTGACCACTTTGTAAAAGAGACATCTGTAAAACTAAAAAAGGACAACTTTAACAGCAATATGGTAAATTATTACTCTTTGTGTTAAACATTTTTATTCCATGGTTTATATTTTTATCTGTTGAACTTGGTTAAGCCAAGTATATGGCTGCCATCTTGGGAGCTGGTATCCACTTCTTATGATAAATTTATGATGCACAAATTGATTCAAATGTTGCTAAATACTGATTGATGCCTGGCAATACATGACATCAACTTTTCATATTGTTTGTACATGATATTCATAATTATTATTATAAAGTTTTATTAGAACTGGAAAATGACAATAACAGTACAATTTGCTGTAAAACAGACCAACCACTTCTCAAACACATACATTAGCACCTCCTCTCTGAAAACACATTCTACATGCATGGAGGCTGCAGCAGATATGGAAACATTTGTGATCCTGGGAGCCATTTCAGGTGAGGTTTTATCACTTCATGATTTGTTTGTTGCTTGTCAGAAAGAAACACTTCTAAAACACTTAACACCCAGTTCTTCTGTCATTGTCATGTTATGATTATTCAGGTTATATAAGTAAAAGATAAATGTTCAAAAGCAGACAGAATATTATTTTAAGATTGATTATCACAGGCCCTGCAATGGATTAGCGACCTGTCCAGGTTGTACCCTGCCTTTCGCCCGATGTCAGCTGGGATTGGCTCCAGCCCCCCACGACCCTGTACGCAGGATAAGCGATTGACGATGGATGGATGGATTAATTGATTATCACAGTTTGATAAAATGTAAACTCAAAGCTTCTGTCATTCGGTCAGCTGTCGGGCCTTATAACAACAAAACTCTGAGATATCAAACATCTCAGCCTTCAGCTGTAACTGTACTAGGTAAGTTGTGATTTTAGTTTAGTTTTTTAGTAGTGAAATGAAGATGGCATTTCAGTGTCAACAAATGGTCTTTGAATGTAGTATGTAATTGAATCAGTTAGTATTCTATTAAAATCAAATGAAGAACAGGACACAAAAATATGATAGATGTGTGGTTCATGTCTTAAGTTTAAAAAAATAAGAAAAATAAAACATACATCCATCCATCCATCGTCAACCGCTTATCCTGCGTACAGGGTCGCAGGGCGAAAATCATGAAAAATAAAAATAAAACACAAATAAAACAAACAATCAAATACCTTTGAGTTTACATTTTAACACTTACAATCTTATCCTTATATTATCCCTTAAATTACTTTAAGTTTGTATGTTTATTACTCATTAGGTTTACTGGATGATTGGTGCCTTTACTGTGTAGTGAACAACGGTGTGGATTTGTGCATTTTACATTCAATAAATTTGGAGCTACCCTAAATTCCTTTCTCCTCCCCAGAGAAGATGGGGAGGGGTCAAAGTTGCTTTCTCTAAGTGCTATCCCGACCATAAAACTGGCACCTTTTTGATTCCGAAACTGATAACGCGGGGCCTGACTGTTAAACTGACAAAGGGACACGAGCCAGCCATTGGCATCTCCCTGAACAGCCTATCAAAACTGGCCCCACCACACACGTTTCCGTGGCAACTGACCTTATTCTTTGTTTTATTACCACATCAAAAAGGAAAACCCCTGTCTCACCCAAGTGTGACATAGTCCAGACACTGAACTTTGGATGACAGAGGACTGCAGCCTCCAAAGACTCAAAGCATTTAATTAAATTTAATTAAATCTTTAGTTACCTGAATATGTTTGCCTCTATTTGAGTAGTTATGTTAACTGTTGTTGCTATCTGTTGTTGATATTAGTGCTGAAAAGAACTTACTTGTGCAGTGTTTTTATTTTCAGCAAGACACTCCTTCATCTGATGTAATCAATGCTTGTTCATAATACTTTCCTACAAAATTCCTTTAGAAATGATGACAAAGAAATGTTTTACTATACTCTTAATCGCCAGCTTGAATTTAAGGATGAATCAACAAATTCCCAGTTCCTAAGGAGAGACGATCTTTGATTTAATCCAAGCTTTCCTCATGTAACCTGAGCTCCCCCAAGTGGACGAAATAAGTATTACATGCATCGGAAATGCCGTTAAATGTATAAATATCCTGACCAATAATGTGACAATTGTTTCCTGTTACCAAATGCTTAGAACAGTACAACCGTTCGACCATTGAGGTTCGATTGTTGAAAATGTTTGATTATAGTACGTGCAAATAGATTTCTTTTCTTTAAACATTAAGTTTAGAAAGGCAGTCCCATGGCAAACCTGAGACGCCCCCTGGGAACCACGCCCCAGACAACAGAGCGACAAGAGCGACACGCGACCTGCTCGCGCTCTCTTCTCTTCGCTGTTGGCTCTTCCACCCTGCTCGGCCCTCTGGACGTTTCGGCACGAGCAGCGTGCCTCGCCAGGCAACGCCCAGACTCGGCCAGCGAAACAAACAGGCCCTTTGTTCGCCTGAAGCTACACACCTGAAGTGCCGCGACATCGATCTGCCTTCAGTTTGTTTTATTTTCTTTATTTCTTTTGTTTGTTAAAGTTATGAGTCCGTTAAGTTACACTGGACTAATTCAGGAACGACCAAGTTCCATTTTAAGCCTTTTTCGTCGAGCCAACTTCACCGAGGTCAGACCAAGCCACGTGGTCTCGACAGCTACAACGAAGGAAACCTGCAAACAGCCGAATTGCCAGACGGAGGAGGCGTTTTCAATCAGACACGGAGAACCCTGGAGAATCCTTAGCAAAAAGCCAGGATCGGGCAGCTAGAGTGGGACCCGTGCAACAGGCCAAAAGCAGGCTGTCGACAAGCAGTAAGACTCAACACACGTTCTGTGATCAGATGTCCATTTTAACTCCTAAATTATAGCATTAGTTTACTTTCAGTAGCTCTTCTATGCCGTATGAGTCAAATGCTTCCCACATCCAGGCTCATTGTTCAGCAAATGCTTATGTTCCCTGTATCCAACCATCTTTTTTATCACCTTAGTTAGAGAATAAATTCACTGTAAAATAATCAAGAGCTGTGTGTGTTGCCTATTTATAGTTCCTGCCAAGAGAATTGACCCTTTAGATATGAGACTGACTGACTGATTTAAGATAATTGAGCGATTATTAACTAACTGATCACTAGTGATAATAGTATAATTATTCAAAACTACCTAGAGGTCCGGAGACTCTAGGATTATAACTCCGGTGGTGCCCTTAAATTTTGATTTTATGAATTTTAATTCATAATTGGGTATCAATTCTCATAAATTTATTAAAATGCATAACTAATAAATTTAGGTCTGCTACAACTGACAGGATTGAACATGCAACACCTGAATGTTCCCTGGTCATAGCAGGTCACACTGACTATAGTGAGAGTGGAGCTCAGCCAGAGGAACGAGAGGGAGGATTAGACTGTTTATGCTGCTCCCTGATAAAAGAAAAAATGTTTCTGCTGATACCTCAAGCACAAGAAAACTGGACTCTGATAGTGACTTGTTTTAACAAGCTAGATAAAAGGTAATGCCCTGGCAGTGGCAAATAGCTTTGGTTTTATATTTGATTTGATTACATTAATGTTTAAATTGAGATTAATAAGAAATATTTTATTGCTACTGTGTAAAGGGAATACTGCTGGTATAAAGCACCTTTTTTTTTTAAAGTGTTTGCAAACCACATGTTATTGCACTTTTGTGTATATAGCAGTACATTTAAGTTAAAGTGCACAATACATTACTTTAGAATTCATTATTCAATTTTGCGCATAACTATGTGATTAATCGCGATTAAAAAGTTTAATTGTTGCCCAGCACTATTTAGAAGAAATCTACAGATCCAAACAGACGGAGGGTAGTAAGCTTAAAACAAACACCATCTAAATGTGTATTTTGGAATTTTCTTTCTCCATTCAAGTAAAAGAAGAGATGGAAGTAAAATACACCATGTCATGGCGCTACCCCATGCCTTCATTTAAACCAGTGGCAGCATCGGTATTAGCATGCTAAGCTAACATTAACATTAGCCTATCATAGGCCTTTTGGCCGATAATTGATCTAAGCATTACTGTTTGCATTAGCATTACCAAAAGCATGTGGGCTAGTACCAATGGACACATGGCTTGTAATTTCATGTCATTTAATATCATGTCATTCAAGTAGTTGTAGTGCTAGTTGAAAGAGTAGAAATTATGATCAGATAAACACAACACAAACACAGGTAATTTCAAGTAATTTATTTTAGGTTATTGTGGTTACCGACGGTCATATCTTCAAGCAGGGATCTTGGTTGAAGGCAAACAGGAAGTGTTGGAGTCTGAAGTAATTTATAGGAGGGAAGACCTGAAATAGTCCATGTGTGAGCCAGTGCAGAGGGGTGCACTAGAGTACTTAA